GAATTAACATCTTAGTTCTAATACAAAAGCTATAGATATAGGCCAGGCATGGTATCTCACACCTATCATCTCACTGTGAGAAGTCAACGTGGGAGGATCACTTGAGGTCAGGAGTTGGAGGTGGCAGTGAGCTGTGATGCTGCCACTACACTCTAGCCTGGGTGACAAAGCATGACTCAGTCTAAAAATAAAAATCTATACCTATAGTTATAAGTAAAGATTCTTTTCACGCCCATGAAAAGAAATCAAATAAACAGAAGGATATTTTAAGATCCTACTATACTGTCATCTCTAGCATCACTATAATTGATTCACTCTATCTCTTCACATCTGAATTTAAGGAGAGGTTCACAATCAGATGATGTTCAATTTGTGGAAACTCAAAAGCTAAGAGTTTCCACAAAACAGGACATAGGTAGTCTGCCCAGTAACTGTGATTACTCACAATACAGACCTCTAGAGATGCTCACCCCCGAAGCTGTTCTCCAAAGTAAATATATTCCATCCTAAGGATAACATTCTCAATAACAATGTCCAAACAAAAATTATCTTGGTTATTTTCCACTGAGTTCTGACTGCTTTGAAATGTAGTTAGAATTTGAAAGCAGCTTTATCCATGAAGTGTAATCTGATCACAGATAATGTTGATTCCAAACTCAGATTTATCTTATATGTACTAATTTCTTAACAATTCCTTTATTTCCCTTTCTTTTTCACATTTAAACCAAATTTCAGAGGAATTTCATATGAACTTTCTATAAATAACCAGTGGGATGGTGGCACCTGTAGCTCAAGCAGCTAAGGCACCAGCCACATACACCAGAGCTGGCAGGTTCAAATCCAGCCTGGGCTTGCCAAACAACAATGACAACTACAACCAAAAAATAGCCAGGCGTTGTGGTGGGTGCCTGTTGTCCCAGCTACTCAAGAGGCTGAGGCAAGAGAATCACTTAAGCCCAGGAGTTGGAGGTTGTTGTGAGCTGTGATGTCACAATACTCTACCCAGGGTGACAGCTTGAGGCTTTGTTTCAAAAAAAAAAAAAAACAAAACACCAGTGGGATTTTCTGGAAACCTTGTAAATCTTTCAGAGACATTGAGGTTTTTGGTGGGGTTTTTGTTGTCATTGTTGTTGTTGTTGTTGTTGTTTTTCCAGCTAACTTCTGGGACTTCTGGACTCTCTGGAGCAAGGGGCCTTCCAGCACCAAGTGGGATGCCTTATATATAATCCCAGAGCTCCCCAGGTATCAAAATTCAGGAAGCTCAGTTCTCACGTCATAATCATTTTTCTCCTGGATTAAGGGAGGGGTATAGGCAGAGATATATAATGGTATTTAATAGATATCTCTGAATAAGAAATTTATTGCTAAAAGTTAATGTTAACAGTTATTGTTAATGATTTTTGTGAAGAATCTAAATGGACCTCGTAGAAGGAAATTTACAAAATGCTATGGAAATCAGTTATTTTGCAATGAGGGCTATAGTTAATACAGTATTGTACACAGAAAACTTATTAAGATTTTAGGTGTTCTTATCACAAGAAAGGCATTTATGTAAGATAATGATATGTTAATTCGAGATAGCAATCATTTCACTGTATACATGTATATAAAAATCATGTTGTACACCTTAAATATACACAATAAAAATACATTTAAAATATAAAGGAAAGGCAAAAGTGTACAAACAGAAAACATCTCAGTGGTTGCCCAATTCAGGAGAATTTGGGGTATAATAAGACTGTTGCATATCCTGATGGTGTGATGGATACTCGAATTTATGTGTGAAACTGCAGAACTATATGCATAAAGTTTTTATTTTGTTACATGTAAATTAAATCTTAATAAAAAGAACACATATTAAATTCTATTAACAAATTTTAAATATTTGTATAATGAATTTTCATTAAATTTTATAAAATTTTGAATTTTGCATTTAAAAGAGTTTTTTAAAGATTCATGAGAATTATACACTCATGTCAACTCTACTCTAAACAGACATTCTTCCCCGGATGCTACCTCTTGCTGGTCCCTCACTGAATAGCTGTGTGGCCTGGGCAGATCACTTAGCCTCTTTGATCATTTTGCTCTCCTATAAATGAGCCTAAGTGCCATTGTGATTGAAATAAGTGGTATTGGGAAAGTGTTTTGGAGCACCCCAGCTAGTGAATAAGTATGGAGTCTTTGTGGACTCTAGACATCTGTTTACAATAATGGCTGGTAGAGCAAATAAGTTCATTTAAGTACTTTGAGACTTGGAAATGAGAGGGTAACAAAAGACTGGGAGGGAGAGAGGAAGACAAGAAAAAGGGAGGAGAAAGGCAGGACAGCAAGGGTCGGGAGAAAAGCAAATGAGGTTGTAATAAGCATAACCTTCCACATCTAATTAATGGAAGTCAAAAACCTCCCATAAGTGGAATCATGCAGTATTTGTCTTACTGATTGGCTTATTCACTTAGTATGATGTCCTTAACGTTCATCCAAGATGTTGCAAATAACAATATTTACTTCTTTTTTGAGGTGGAATAGTATGTATGTATTACATTTTTTTGTTGAGTCATCTGTCATAGACACTCAGGAAGTTCCCACATATTGGCTATTGTGAATAATTCTGCAATGAACCTGGGAGTTCAGATATCTCTCTGACATACTAATTTCACTTCCTTTGGATCCAATGGTGGGATTGCTAAATCATACGTAGTTCTATTTTTCATTTTTGAGGACCCTCCACCCTGTCTTCCATAACTGCTGCACTATTTCACAATGCCACCAACAATGCACAAAGGTTCCAGTTTCCCCACATCCTGGCCAACACTTTTTATCTTTTGTTTACATTTTCTCATCTTACATTTTAAGTTGTATTTAACTTGTCTAACTTGAACCTACATTTACAAGGATGCAGTGTTATATGGTGTCTTTAATGTAAAGAAGTTGGAAGCGGAGGATCCCTGAGGAACATAAAAGCAAAATTATTTCCAACGTCATGGCTCTATCTAAAACACAGAGCTGGAAAGTTTCCATCCCACAGGCTATTCTTGCAGTATATATACATTACACTGGAGTACATACTTTGTAACCAACACTGGTCACTGCAGAAAACAAACTGGACTTTATTTTATACTATAGGTGGAATCCAAAGTGAGCCTTATGCACGAAGAAGTATCTGGTTTCACAGTTGATTCCTGTAGAGTAAGTATATCACAGACTACCTGATCTTTAAACTTTCTCTTTCATCTGACCACTGATTTCAAAATAATTTTTTCTATAGCATTTTTCCATACCTACCTATTGATCTTAGAGTTCTAAATGTGTTAGTGAATGTACTTACTAAAAATATAGATTTTTCTAAGAGTCTCACACACTAACAAAAAGTAATATGCTTCCATAATCTTAGAAGCTCCCAGATGCCAAGATTGGAGGAGAATCATTTTTCCAGACATTTCAATTTACCTTAATACTTTTTAATTGTATTTTTTTTGAAATTCGGGCTGTTCTACCACTTGATCAAAGCAATAAATGCATTTCTTAGTCATAATAACTTTAACAGGGTAAAGTGCATTCCAGTATGAAGACAGACAATGACATTGGTTTTAATAAAATATAAACTTCCTTTCCTGTCATAATTGGCCATTTAAACTTGTGTCTGGATTACCTCTTATATAACAAAGTATCTTATTTCACAAATCTAGTTTTCTTAGTCTTCTCAGTCTCAAGACTCCTATCAGAAGCTGTTTCTAGTAGGGAAGTTATTATACTGGAGGCTTTGGAGTCAGGCAGACCTCTGTCGGTATTCCAGCTTTGCCACTTCCTGGCTGTATGACTTGAGGAAATCAAGCTTTCACATGTGCAGAATGGAAATAAACATCATGATTAATAAAATATAATGTTTGTAAAGTGCTTAACACAGATCTGGTATGTACTATGTGTAGTCAACTTTTTAAGTTGACTAGCCTAAAAAAGTAAAGAGAAAAAAAGAGAGAAATGGACATAAAGAGAGAAGAAAGGAAGAAAGAGGAAAGGAAGGAAGGAAGGGAGAGAGAAAAGGTAGAATAAAAGAAGGAGAGAAAGAGGGAGGTCAGGAGGGCAGATGAACGAAATTAGAAAAAAAGAGTTAGCTTTCTGGCTGTGGAAAATATAAATATTTCCACAGACACCAATTTAAATAATGTAGATGAATAATTTAAGTACAAATGAACTTAGAATTCATATTTTCTCCCATGAAGGACAGTCATAACCAAAAGTAGCTTTCAAATATCTATCATTTAAGCTAGTCTCAAAAAAGAAATCTGTCTTAGTAGTGAAAGTCAAGGGCAATCAATATGCAACAATAAATGGCATTGCTCAGGCCATGGAACACAACTTCTCATGGGACATTCAAAATGCAGAGAAATATGTAATGATAGAAATGTGTGGTCAGAATCTGCAGTCTCTTTTGGAACATAAACACCACCATTTCGCAAGTCATTTAATAAACAGTTTTTCTATGTTTGTAATACACTTCTGTTCAATGCATTCTATTCACACATATCCAGTTAGATATACTTATGAGAATTATGTGTTTTTATCAGAAATGTAGTATTACATTATTGCCCTGGATTTATCCTGATAAAATAGCCTCCAAATATACTTAATAGCTATGCACTAAAAATAGGTCTTTCTGATTTCCTGGAGGAGAAGTGAATTCAAGGCTTGAAGAAATTGTTGATGAAAAACACTTACTTCTGACAATTTTAATCAGATAATCCATTCTGATACCCCTAAGAGCTATAATTCTGATCGTGATGGGCAACGTTTTTGACCTACCATTCTATACTTAGGTTCCCTTCTTGGCCACAGGCCGTGCACACATCTGAATTCAAGAAACATTTATTTTCAATGTTGTGTTTATACAATGATAAGATTTCAGTTTTGCACATGAAACATATTGATCTAGCACCTGACATTTTTTCTTTCTGTTCTAGAAATTTAGTTCATCTCCTTTTCCCTGGGTTCCTTCGTACTAAATGGAAGAAGTAAACCAGTCTGCGGTGTCTGAGTTTGTTTTTCAGGGACTTTGTAATTCAAGGAAGCTGCAGACATTCCTCTTATTGCCATTTTCTATACTTTACCTGATGACTGTTGTGGGCAACCTCTTTGTTGTGCTATTAATCATCAGCGACCACCATCTCCATTCCCCCATGTACTTTCTCTTAGCCAACCTCTCATTTGTCGATTTCTGCCTTTCCTCTGTAACTACCCCTAAACTGACCACAGACTTCCTAAAGGATATTAAGACCATTTCCTTTGGGGGCTGCATGAGTCAGATCCTTTGTGTGCATTTCTTCGGAGGGGGTGAGATGGTACTCCTCGTGACAATGGCCTATGACCGTTACGTGGCCATCTGCAAGCCACTCCATTACTCCAGCATCATGGACAGACAAAAATGCATCTGGCTGGTTGTGATATCATGGATCATTGGACTTCTGCATGCCATGAGTCAGCTGGCAATGATTTTGAATCTGCCCTTCTGTGGACCCAAAGTAGTGGACAGCTTTTTCTGTGATATCCCTTTGGTGATCAAACTAGCCTGCATGGATACTCATACTTTGGGAATAGTGATAAATGCTGACAGTGGGGTTTTGGCAACAACTTGCTTCATTCTCTTGATGATCTCCTACACTTATATCCTAATAACTGTCCGCCTTCATTCTAAAGATGGAGCATCAAAAGCTCTGTCTACCTGTACTTCCCACATCACAGTGGTGGTGCTGTTTTTCGGACCCTGCATCTTCATCTACCTGTGGCCACTCAGCATCACTTGGGTGGACAAGTTTCTTGCTGTGTTTTACACAGTAATCACACCTCTCCTGAATCCAGCCATTTATACATTGAGAAATAAAGACATTAAAAATGCTATAAAGAGACTGATAAACTAGCATAAGGATTCAAGGAATAACTTTTAGATATCTCATGAAATCAGAAAATCCACTGTGTGCACCACAATGTGGCCATGATTTTGACCTGGAAACTTGACTGAGAATACTAATTATTCATAGATGTAAGCTTTGAGTAGTCCTAAGAGTATGTTTGTATTTTTTCCATTTGAAAATAAGCTCAAAAACCCAACAGTTAGATTCTTACCACTTAGAGAGAATAAAAATTCCACATAAATATTTCTTTGTATGTGTTCCAAAATTACTAGATGATAACAATAATGATATTGATGACTATAAAAGTAATTGCCACTATTTAGTAAACTCTGTACACTGTACAAAGCAGTTTACTTGGATTATATATTACTTACAAAATCACTTTGAGTTAAGTATCATTATTTCTATTTCTAAAAATACATAACATATTCATTCTAATTCTAACTTACCTGGAGAGTATACTAAAGATATTTGAGTAGTCTTCATCTACTTAGAAAACAAAATGATAAAGGGACCAAGCCATAATACTATTGCTCCGTCCTCTACAATGTAATCATTAAGTTTTCAAGTGTCTTAATCATTGACATAAACATAGAATTTCCTTTGAATATTTTTTCTTAAATTCACAGGAAGGAAAATAGCTGATTCTTATGTCAGTTAATACATTATTTTTATGATTACAGTCTTTCCATTATGATGAAATAACTAAAGCAGTTCTGAATATGGGGAAAGTGAAGGATGCATTGCTTTAAAGCAAAAAAAAATATGGACTGATACTAAGAAAGCCAAGGAGAAACCATTACTAAAACAACAGTACAATTACTCATTTATTCACTGCAAAGTTCAAATAAGCTACGTGTGTCTAGGCTATGTATAATACATTCAGTTTGCTAAGGATGTCCTCACCTTAAACCCCATGCCAAAAAATACATGTGTATATATAATATATACAAACATATGTACTACATACAATAAATTTAATACATACATAGCAAAACATAGAGAAAATTAAAATGCATATAGTTCATGCATATAGTTCTTCACAAATAGCATGGGTAAGGTCAGTTACATCAACATAATGTGACCTTCTAAAATAAAATACCTTGTATAATGTTGCATATTCTACACCTTTGGATGATACATGTCAACTCCTGGATGAAATTATTTTTACACATCTTTACAATATTCTAATTTCTGCACAGAGAAAAACCATAATTTCTTGGTTCTCATCTCTCCATAGTAATAGCCAACCATTATCTCTGTGCCAATAAATGAAAGGATTCATGATGACGATATAACTGATTTAACAAAGGCATGTAAGTCACTGTAGTCGTGGTTTCCCCCAGACCAGATGATCACGGAAGCATCACTCATTGTTGCCTTCAGACCTGTATGGGAACGCAGGGTGGCTTCTTGGGATGTTTTAGAAATGCAGTTGACTCACTAGTGCTCATCAATGTAACTTTTTAGTGATAGGAGTCACTGCCTGCATGCAGCTTCCTTCCTCTCTACCCTCTGAACAGAATATAACAACAGAGCATTTTGATTGAGTCCTTGCTACACTCTATAATTAGTTCTTATTGATTAGCAAATGAGATCCTACTGTCTATATGATGTCTAAGCATATGAGTTTTGTTTAATTCATCAGTAGTTTGATAAGATTCACTTCTAAGTAATTCATGTTAAAAATTCATTTGGGCTCGGCGCCTATAGCTCAACCAGCTAAGGCGCCAGCCACGTACACCTAAGGTGGTGGGTTCGAATCCCCAGCCCGGACCCGCCAAACAACAATGA